AAAAAAAAAAAAAAAAAGCACCGCACATGTAAACACATTCACACAAACAAAATAGGAAGACCGATGGAAGAGCCTATCACAGTCACACTTCATGGAGGGAATAAACAAACATAACCACACGCATGAACAGTCGCGCACACACAAATATACACACCACGCGCACATGCACATCACAAGCGATATGCAGTTCTCGAGTTTGACATTGATCGAGCGATTACACCCAGGACGTGGGCTCAGAAGCAGCCATCCTCTAAGGAACTCAAAGCATACTGGCTCATTTTTTGGCGTCTTCCTTCGGAGACTCTTAGGAAGGAAGAAACACTATACGACTTGCAATTGCTATACAGTGAAGCCTCCATCCACTGAATTCACAGGCATCAAAAGCTACGAACAACAAAAGCGTGAGGGGAAACTGCACACCTACTACTGGAAAAAGCAAAATTGAAACCGCCTCAGAAACGAGAACTCGATACACGCACAGCTTGAGCCAAAGCATGAACCCCTCCGGGTTGAATTGTGAGGTGAAAAAAAAAAAAAAAAAAGAATTGTGAGGTCCCCGGCCTCAGATATACGAGTCTCTAATAAATTGGGTGATTGCTTAAAAAAAAAAAAAAAAAAAAAGCATGACCCCTGTGCTGATCATGACCACTGCTCTGTGTGTGCATAGTACTGCACACTGGATTGCACAACACCACGAACGGTGGTTATTGAATAGAGATCCACCAAGAATGGAGTCGCCATTTTCAACCGAATAGAACGCCCACCAGGTCATTATAGATGTATTTGGGGCAACTTTCTGCCCAGATGCAAGGATAAGGACCGGGCATCGAATTTGGGTGAAGACGGTAGTGAATGGAATGCATTCACTAGCACTCCAAGCGGCAGAGCAGAGGCATAATGAGCTCATTCGTCTCTCCTAGCCATCGGCAGGAAGTGACTTCCTCTCTCTCCCTCTGTGTGTGTGTGTGTGTGTGTGTGTGTGTGTGTGTGTGTGTGTGTGTTGTCATATTCGCTATACACTCAAAAAAAGCATGACTGTACCAGACTGTGTGTGTGTGTGTGTGCGCTCCCCCCCCCCGCTACACCCCTTGCCATCAGTAGGAAAGTTGTTTCTGGTAAGACTATCTGATCCTCTGAGAATGGATTGTACTGTCATTGTAGACCAGGTGCATTCGGACCAGGTCACATTCTCAGTAAGGTGAATGCAATACATTTCACCTGAATGTGAACTCCGCTGCAAACAGAGATCCTATGCTGTCTTCCGTCTGCATGTCACTTGCCGCAAACAGCACTGGCTACCGCCTTTTTCTTGCAAAGCTGCTTCTTCCCTGTGTTGATGCTGCTGATGTCGTGTTTCCAATTCCGTCCTTGATAAATGCACATGTTGGTGAGACCGCATCGGAACAGGTTTGTTGAGCTACTTCTGCTGCTGCCGAAAGGAGTGGAAATGCGATTCTGAAGATGGACTCGAACCTTAAAACCTTAAAACCTTAAAACCTTATAACTCCATTGTGCAGGAAATGCAGGACATGTCAAATAGCGACATGCATCCGCGTAATGCACGGCCAAACTCGTGGACAAGGCAATTCGACGACGGTAGGTGTAGAGCATCTTAAACCTGCTCGTATTCCGGTCACAGGAGAGACGAGCACTGCGCCCTAAAGCAGGCGAACTCCAGCGACAATACCCAACGCAACACCACATCTGAATCATGGTGTCTGTTCTCCGCTGGAAAGCCAATTCGGTCATCCGAGAAGACAAACGAGACCAGATCGTAAACTTTTATATATAACGTTTCCTGAATCCCTCGAGAGAAATTGAGACGATCGTCACACCGGTGTGGTGGTGGTGGAGGAGGAGGAGGAGGAGGAGGAGGCGGGAGGTGGTGGATGCACAAAAATGGGAGGCTAAACGCCTGCTTCTCTCCTTGGGGGCCGAAGACGATACTCGGGTAATCGCGCGGAAGACTCTGTGGCTACACAACACGATTTCAAGAAAATGGTGATGTGATCAAGCCCGAAAAAAAAAAAAAAAAAAGGCGATGCGGTCAAACGAGTTTCCCAGGTTGACCAAGCAATCTGCCGAAGAGATTTCTTCCGTATATTTCTTCTCCAAGAATCGAACACACAACCTGCGGCTTGCCAGGCAGATACCTAGCCAATAGGTCTAAATGTGCCGGTGTGCAAGTGAAGCCCGAAGGAGCGGGGAGCAAGGAGCGCCGCCCCAACCCAGCATGAGGATTTCTGCGCAACCCTCTGATGCGCTCATCGTTACTCCATCTTGCCAAATTGTTGACGTCATCGTTTCAAACTTGGTGGCGTGTGTCACTTGGTGATCTTGCCACCAAGTAGACCCTAAGGTAACTTGGCTATCGGGGGGGGGGAGATGCCCCCCTGGCCTGGGGATAGCGCATCCTTACTGTGACCCCCGACGACCTATATAAATGCAAGAGGAAGTCAAGTGGTTGTTGCCCACTTAAAACCGAAACAGCAATTGAAAGCGGATGCCTGCCTAGGCTGTGATGCTCAGTAGGAGTCGTATCGGATCACATCAGATCTGAACCCAGTTTCAATCCACGGTCCTGCATCTACTTGAAATCATCAACGTGTGCGTAACTAGATCATATCAGATCATATCAGATCACATCAGATCTGAATCCACAGTTCAATCCACGGTCCGATAGCGGATTCCGATTACAAGCAGGGAGCAGCCAAGCCCGAAGCAGGGAGCAGCCAAGCCCGATGCTCGTACTTTATTCTAATTCCGCACAGCCTACTAGGGAGCGATAGCGGATTCCGATTATCAGATCTGAATCCACAGTTCAATCCACGGTCCGATATTATCAGATCACATCGGATCTGAATCCACAATTCAATCCACGGTCCGATAGCGGATTCCGATTACAAGCAGGGAGCAGCCAAGCCCGATGCTTGCTCGTACTTCATTCTAACTCCGCCTCCGCACAGCCTACTACCTTCTTCCCCCGAATACAACGTACGGTCATTATATCTGTATCTAGACCGAAAGATGCCCCAAATACGGCTATAATGACCGTACGTTGTATTCGGGGGAAGAAGGTAGGGAATTGTGGTCGGTAGTTTTTGCGATGCGATGCGGCGAGTCTATGCGTAGACGGCGGTGCCATTCATCATGGAAAGTCCCAGCGTATCTGCGATCGTTTGGGCAAACTGAAAACAGTTGGGACAATCTCCATCTTGCACTCCCGGCACTCGATTGACGACGACGTCGTCAAAGATATATTTTACATTCCTTACCGTGGTTTCAACGTCAATAACCATTGACGTAGACTGTTCGATCCACACAGCCCTGCTGATATTGAAGTAATCTTCGGGTCGGTTCATGACGACGGGGAAATTGGAAAAGTACCGAAGGCCCAAGATGACGGAGAGATCCTTATAGCAAAGGTTCAAATTTGCAGGATCCGAATCAAGATGAAATGGCTGTAGAAACTCATACACCACGGTACCCGTCCTGGAAGAACACACAGAAGACGAAATGCCCAAAAACATCATTGACGAAAAAGGCCACGGGCACGTAGAAGCAAAACCCCGTTAGTCTTTCTTTCTTTTTTTTTTTTTTTCCTTCTTTTTTCTTTTTCTTTCCTTTCATCCTCATGGGCCCGGGTCAGCCCCCTTGGTCCGTTTTTTGTACTGTCACGACAACCTTTACACCAGCACTCTTGACGTCAATTTTTACATCCATTGGCAATCAAAACTTGTTGTCAATGACGATGGGGTGTGGCGCGGGGGTAATGGAGACGGATAGAACTAGTCAAAAAAAAAAAAAGTGATCCCGGGTGAGAAGAGAGCATGAAATTTATGAACAAATTTGCTGGAGCGGAACTATCTACTTTATTCCGTTTTTTTCGTTGAAGAAAAGAAGCATCTCGTTTTATTCACAGAGGCAGCACAGAGAGTTCTGACTGAGTGAACAGCAGAGCAGGTGCACATCCGGAGGCAGAAGAGGCGGAGGAGGACACGGATGTTGAAAAGCTTCGCTTCCGGGTCCTGCAAGAGTAGTATCTAGAGATCGAGAGAAATTGGCAAGCCTTAGGGCCTAGTTGCACCACTCGCCATCCGCCAAGATTTCCAATGCATCTGGACAAGGTGTTTGTCCAGGTGCATTCAAAAGCTTGGGGGATGGCGAGTGGTGGTAGCTAGATCCTTAATCCGCTAGAGAATCTAGAAAGTTACGCATCTGGTACATATCAGAGAAGAAGACGAGGGCAAGCGGCATGTGATGTTTTTCCCATCCCCCGGGGCTAGGTCCCACTTGCACGAACGAATTAAGAGATACTGACCGTAGATAAGAAAGATCAACGGCCGAAATCTCCTAATTTGCGCAAGTGGGACCTTGCCCCCGGACGTCTGCGGCTGCATCCTGAGTGGGGGCTGCATCCTGAGTGCAGAGGGTGAGTCATGACCCTTCATTGCTGAAGGGGATGGCTCGCGGCACCGTCGGGGATGACTCGCGGTCTCGTGACTGCCACGGGGGGGGGGGGGGGNGGGGGGGGGGGGGGGGGGGGCTGCACCCTGTGCAGCAGGGGAGTCGTGATCCTTCATTGCTGTAGGGGATGGCCCACGGCACTGTAGAGGATCACTCACGGCACCATCGGGAATAACTCGCGGTCTCACGACTGCCCAGCAGGGGCCGGACTGTCCGCAGGGGTCAGACTAGTATGGATATCATTGCCATGCAGAGCAAGGGAACAGCAACAGCAACATATGGAGAACGCGGATCCAAGAGCACCCGGACGACGGATGTACACAAGTCATATAGTAGTCCAATACTAATGGCGTCAATTCATAATGCATAGGTATTAGATAGATGTTTAGAGGCTGGTTCACCATTGTCGATAAGCATCATCACTCATCCTCGGTCATCATCCATGATACCTGGGGCCAAGTCCCACTTACCCGAAATCTCAATTTCCGACCATAGATTTGGAAGATCGACGGCCAAGAATGAAAGATCAGCATAAGTGGGACTTGGCCCCTGGAGCGAGGCCTCGCTTACCTGAATTCTTCATTCTGTACCCCATGGGCCCATAGGTTACAAGAGAGAATCAATGGGGCTCAAGCTTAGAATCCGGCCGATTAAATACCTTTCTCGGCCTTTTGACTACGTAAGATCAAGTGTAGTATTTGTTCTGATCAGTTCAATATCTGATCCGTGGTCCATCGGACCACAATTAAAAAAAAAAAAAAAAAAAAAGAATCTGGCCGATTGGGACCTAGCGGGTTACTTATTTGTTGAGGGCTGTTTGGTCTCTTGGCCCCATTCTCCACCGTCGGCAATTTGTCGGAATGCCTCCCATTTATTCACACACACAAAAAGAAAACCATTGCAGTAGTGTGTGTGTTTTTTTTTGTTTTGTTTTTTTTTATAGATTTTCTATTTTACAAAAAAGGAAAAACTTTGGCTTAAAGAAAAAAATGGAAAGGAGAAAAACTGTTGGGATACCAATGTGACAGGACCGGTGTAGAAAAGCATAATGAAAAGAGGGGGGAGAGAGTCAGTCCTACAAAAACTCGAAAGCAGCAGGACTGACAAACAAGCCAAGGAAGGAGCATATGGACACACAATAGAGGACGGCACAAGTCTCGCCTTTGTATTTTACAGGGGGTGTGACCATTAAACAGCCAGTACCTTTCCGAGCTACGGGCCGTGGGCCCTGCGCGCTGAGTTTTGGCGGCGCATCTGGCCCGCCGCTGCCGGAGGCCGAGTGCGGCCTGCGTGTTAACTGGCGCGTTTCGGCAAGTTGGCTGGGAAAGGTACTGGTCGTTTAACATTTTCTGCTTGCTCCATGCGTGTGCGCTCCACATAGCACCTGTCATTGTTGATGTTGAGATTTTTGAATTTCTAACCCTTTCGGACTTACATAATTACTGTACTGCCCCTCCGCAGCTCACCCCCATTCCCCCGAATCCCCCACCCTCGGACGTTATTTTATGTTTTCTAAAAGTTGAAAAAATCATGTTCAGTTCAAGAGCCGTATTATTATCGGTGACTATCTCGTACGGTTTGGAGCGGACTCGGTGAATTACCTGAGGCCAAGTCCCACTTACGCTGCACCTGGGGCCAAGTCCCACTTACGCTGATTCTTCATTTCTTGCTGTTGATCTTCGTATTTTCTATTCGGGTACTACGTGGGACTTGGCCCCTGGTTATCGGGTGTGGGAAGCCGCACTCTATTCTTTATTGTATGGTTTATCTTCATACTTCTCATGACGGTGGTTCAGCTTCATATTTCTTTCTTTCTTTTTTTTTTTTTTTTTTTTTTTTTTTATAAAGGGCGACGGTCTTTTGATATTATCATTGAGAAAAAAAAATAAAAAATCATTGAGCTGACCAACCCCAAGCAATTTATTAGTAGTTGGTTGCAATTGTCAAGTTTCCATCATCTGGATTTGAACACAGGACCTGGTCTGTATTTCAGCAGTTCATGGGTGTACCCACTGAGCTAAGCTCTTGGGTAGCTTCATATTTCTCGTGGTCTTTATTATGGGAGTTATGCCAGCTGACGAGAATCGGGGGCTCTCTCAACAAATCGCCACATGCACAACAGAGGGAAAAAAAAGGGTGATGTACCTTCCTATATTCTAGCGGAAGATTCGTTCCCATTTTGCACATTTTTGTCGAGTAGCGGAGGGAGGCCCTTGCTGTGGTGTCTACGACTGGATATCCATGCCATGTGCCTTAATGCG